GAATAAATTTAAGTATTGTCTAATCTATCAATTTTAATTTAAACATCTAATTCATCTGACCTAATTAAAATTATGGATGGATGTTAGTTGAATAAAAGATCCACCCATTAAAATATTACTTTCAAAACATTTTAAATCTCCAAAAGAACCTAACTTCTTTTCAAAATTTCAACAATCACTCTAAATACTGAACATATTCTCTCTCCGTTTTTGTTACCAATTCGAGCATAACTCGACTGCATATATTGAACTAAAAATTAAAATTTTGGATTTCTGTCCTACATATTATTGGAGTTGAAAAAAAAATCGTTCTCATATTCGTCTATGTTCAAATTTGCCCTCTTTTTCTTTTTTACTTATTTTTTGCTTTTAGTAATTTGGTCAGGTGTCTTTTTTCTTTTTTCTGTTAAAAAAAAGGTCGGATAGGGTTGATCGAATTTTTTAATTAACCATGCATGATAAAGTGGATATTCTACCTTGAGAAAATGAAAAACTAACATATAAAAAATAATACTTTCTAAATATGAAATTAACCGTTATGTTGTTCTTCAATGGATAAAATTAGTAAATAGAAACTTTGGTTGTATTAATATTCATGGATTCATCTCAAAACTAATTTACAATAAGAGGAGTAGTTCATATTTATTATAAAGTTTGTTAGGTTTCTTATATATCTTTTCAACATTAAATCTTTAATAGACTGTAAATTTTAATTCCTCGAAGAGTAAAACTAGAAACTTTAAAAATATTTAACACATAATTTTAAAACGTCATTTATACCTCAAAGATTAAAGTATGCCTTTTTATGATTTGAATAAGGCAGGATGGAAATTTTAAGATTAAGATGTATAGTATATAAGGTGCCAAATGTTGAATCAAGATTTTGACCCACATCGCGAACGTCAGTTCGGTTGAGATGAGTTGGACAGTAGCTTCGAATGCCACGTAAAAGACCTGCAAAACACAGTGAGCACTCCGATGCCAAAGTTAGTGAAAGTCTGCACTGATTCGAGAGAGAATTGAAATATTCGCGTACCTCAAAATGGAGCAGAATGGTTCTATTTATAGACAAAGGTCTCCGACAAGGCCTCACCGGCTCTTTAAGGTTGCCGTGAAATGCGGTGTGTTGTCGTGGAGTGTGTCGGAGATGTGACCGAGCTGAGGTAAGCTAATCGGTTCAACCATTGATATGGGAACAGTATTATGAGAGCAAGCTTGCTCGGCTCGGCCACCGAAAGGGTTCGACTCGGACAAACGGATGAGTCGAAATGTATTTACTTAGATAATCTTCTACAGGATCTGTGAGCCACGTGTCACGTTCTAGATCCATCTATCTATCCCCTGTCACGTGTATGGTGAAATCTACCTTCAAGAATCATGTTTAAATTGGATGCATTAAAAATATAGAAGTATAGAGTTACCCTATCATAATGGTTTCAAAGTTTGCTCTTGCCACCCAATCTTTGCATGAAACCACACTTTTATTCATAAAAGAAATAAAGGGAAAGGACAGAAGTTTGATAAACCAATCTTGTCTCCTTTCTTTCACCACCCAAAAAACAAAACAAAAAGAAGAAAAAAAAAGAAGAAGAAATGCTCTCACATAATTATTTTAGTGGGGGAAGCAAATGCAAACTCTTTTCTCTTTTGCTTTTTTTTTTTTTTTGTTTTTCTTTTTCTCCATTTTCCAATCACTTTGGATCTCTTCACTAGGGGTATCTTTTTCCAAACCCAAACAAATGAAAATTTTGTTGGCTTCAATTGCTCCAAAAAAACCAGCTTCTAAAGTTCCTTTTTCTACTTCCCAAACCCACTTCTTTCATGCCAAACTTTGCTGTCTCTCTTAATGTGAATGGCAAAAAGAGAAAAGCTTCATAATATCACCCTCAATAGTGGGTAGTGAAGCAAACTTTAAATCAAAGCCAAAAAATTCCATCTCTCTTTTCCAAGTTCCAACTCAACTCTTTTGATGATATCACTAACTTGATTGAAAAACCTTTTGAATTATTGAATGATCTCAATCTTAGTTGGTGTGTCTACCTGCCTCTCTACTAATTTCAAGAAATCACAAGGAGATTTGGAACCTGACAATAATTTTAAACTCAAAGCCGATTGGATCTACCACTTATATATACTTCTTTAATCAACATATCTGACCAATCTACGATGATAATTTATTAAGTCATTGATCAATCATCGTATTTAAAAGCTCGGTTTCTGGTCAAAGATCCCAAAACTTGAAAAGTAAAAAAGAAAAAAAGACTCCAAACTTGTGAAACTTTTTTAAGTTCATCACTTTTCCTTTTAGAGCCTTTTTCGCCTCTAGTTTTGATCCGCTAATATGTATGCTTGACTCTTTGCTTTTTGTTAGGGTACCTTTGGAGGAAAAAAAGGCATGTGCGTGCTTTGTTTCATATTCTCAGGGCCCCAAATGCTATTAAATATTATACGACTAACGACAAATATAGAACCTAATTAAACATAGTTTAACTAGTTAGATATATATTCTCAACCAAAAAGTCATGATCCTATCGAACCACCATCTCACCTGTTGATGTACTTAAAAAAAAAAGAAAATCTAGCATAATATAAGTTCTGACATTATAGAAATAGCACCTCAAAATTAAAACTCTCTTAAAACTTTTAAAAGTTTTGAATTATGTTCCTAGTTTTGTTTATTTTTATTTATTTTTATTTAATTTTGTTATACTTCTGGTTAGTCCTAGTCAATAACAATCGTTAATAAAACAATGATGCGACATATTCATATGTCACGTCAATATTACATTAGCGTTTGCATTTAAAATTTAACCTTATAAATATAACCAAAAGTAAGAAGGGTAGTTGAATTGATGATGGCTATAATAATTACGTATGTCAATGACCAATTGTTGCTGAAAAAAAATTTCAAAAGAAAAAAAAATTTGATTACTAATACTACGGAATCAAACAGTAAATGTAGTAATTGCCTTTTTTTTTGGAGCAAACTATAATAAAAAAGAATGCATATTAATATTTTAGAAAATGAGGTACCCAAATTAAATGGTTTTTTTTTCTTTTTTTTTTGAAACAAAATGGTTTTTTTCCTTGATTATTAGTGTTAATGTTGCTTGCACAATCCGACATAAAACCAGACTTTCTTGTTGTGGCGAGGCCCAATTGGAAGCCCATTAGATCAATTTGCCTCTAATTATAATATGTGGGCTTTCTTTAGAGCCCAAATCTACAAGTTTTACCATTCATAATAGTAATATTCTTCCGAACGTTTATGTGCCTATATATGTGTGTTTTTTATTATATCTATAATTATATTTTTGTTTATTTCAACATTATTCAGCTTTCTTTGTTAACCAAAAAAAAAAAGAAGAAGAAGATTTGGTTGTTTCAAATTTGATGCAAATATCTATTTTAATTTCTGAAAATTTTAAATAATCTTTGAATTGCTCTAATTTTTGAACTTTTGAAAAAATAATTAATTTTGGTTTTTGTTATACTATTTTATCGCCTAAATACTTTGTTTTCAAATTTTTAACATATATGGTTTTAGTACATGCTCGTACTAATACATTATATTGGTGTATATATTTAAAGAGTTGTGTTATTAATTTGTTAAAATAAAAAAAAAGATACGTAAGGATTAAAATGATTATTCTTTTTTCAAGTTTAAGGATTAAAATAGGAATCAAAATTGACATTTAAATTTTAAACTAAAAATTAAAAAAAAAACAAAATAATACTAAATAGTTTTTTTTTTTCCAAAAAAGTCAAATATTGCATCTTCACCATCTACCCTCTTCAGCCGCCACCATGGACTATCCTAATCGTCGATCGACATATTACACTCTTGTACCATTGTTAATATATATGAGATGAAATATTGGACTTCCGACTTCTAAAAAATGAGCCAGAAGTCTTAACCATTGAAAGTATAACTCAGATTGACGGTATGTCCCTACTTATCCCCATAAAACAATTTTTAGTTTGCGAACCTAATCATTCGGTAAGCTCCTAAAATGGAAATGGCAGGGTGATTTAGAAATTAAATTCTCTGTGCTTCATTTAAGAAAAAAGATTTTATCTTTCCTCTTGAATTATGATCTTCTTTTGACAACATAAAGTTTTCCTTTTTTGAAGGAAAAAAACTGCCTTCATTTAATGGAGACTTATTTTTTCTGATTGTACTTGGGATCCAATTTTGGCAAATTCTTGGTTTATATTGCCCCACTGTATATTAATCTTCAAAATATTTCTCTTTGAACATTATAATAATTTGGAAAAAATCTATAAATTTTATAGTAAATGGATTGATTTATGTATTATATGAGGATTTTTAGTGATGTATATATTTTTTCATTCTACTTATTCAACTCATATAATTCCTTTTTAAATTTTTAATAAAAAGGATTACTAATTTATCATTTAAAAAATTATAAAAATATGCTATTGCAAATTATAAAGATACTACTAATCTATCTTCTTAAGTTACAATTATTTTGTTTTTAATTTTATAATTTCTTTAATTGAACTTATTAACTTATAATAAAAATGTTGACTGGGTAAATAATCACGCATAATAATTTCCTTAAACGTGTATTCTACTTCTGTATCCACAATTAACATTTTTAAATTATTATTTAAGTAATATTCGGTCCCTCATTATATAAGCAGTATCTTAATTAAAATCAATTTCCAAATTTGAATCCTTGACAAGCTTTGGCGGCACAGACTAGATTGTGTTATATTAGTTAATTAAAAAAGCTATAAATATAATTAATTAAAATTTTAAAAATATATAAAATATTAAGGTTAAAATAATACTTTGGTTGAGAGAGTACATTGACCAAAGTATGTATTTTCGGATCAAGTAACTGTCCCACGAGATTAGTCGAGTTTCACATAAACTGACCCGAACACTCCAACTATAAAAAAAAAGGAAAAAATTGTATTTTAACCGAATATTAATATAAATACAAGATTTTGTCCCAAAAGCAAATCTTTAATTAATTATATCCTCCAGTCCTCAACATATTAGAGAACCTTGAAACCTCTCCATTCCATTTACACCTTTCACACGTGTCATCCCCATAACAATTGGCTTCATCAGTCCAATCCCATCCCATCATTTTAATCATATGACACTCTTTTTCGAAGCAGCAGCTCTGCCTCCGTCGATCTAAATACTCCTTATCTTCTCGCAAAAAACTCTTATTTTTAACCCACATTCCCCAAACAAACCACTTGATCCTCCGGCGACACTCAGTCATTCTCTCGCCTCCCCTCGACTCGCACCGCCTCAAAAACTCTGCTCCGGCTTCCCCCTTCGACTGTCGGTACAAAATGACGCCATACACGTAAGCAGCTTCCACGTGGCCTTTCTCCCCGGAGGCTTTCAAATTGGCCAATCCGGAAGCTTCCTCGTTGCGGCAAAAGAATTGTATCATCCCCATTCTAAACAAAGCTTCTGGATTTCCGGCTTTCACGCAGTTTTCGATGAACGATGAAAATTTGGGGCCGTGCCACCATGAAAATACTGGCAAATCTCGAAGCAACACGTGGTGGAGCACGTGGCCGTCCATTGCCGCTCCGAGAAAATCTTTGTTCGCCAACTTGGCGTTGTATAGATCGGAGAATGAGGAGGCCGCCACTTTCGCCAAAATTTCTACCAATATATCTCTCGGAAGAGAATTTATGGCTGCTGAAGGAGCTGCAAAACGCACCGTTTTGGCCCTGCATGTCAAAAGTAGTTCTATTAGCAGAAAAAAAAATTAAATATATATAGCAACAAAAAAAGAGAGAAATATACTTCACGTGAGAATATTTTTTCTGTAGGATTTTAATCTTGCATTTTTTTTAAATCTTTGAATGTTGTTTAGACCTGTTTGCACGAGATTAATCTCACGGAGTAACTACCTGTCCTACATATAAACCTATAGAAATTAATTCCTAATTTTGCTTCCTTGGAATTAAAATAAAGTAAAATAAAACTAAATCACATCTAAAAAATATATATATTAGACAACAGGTAGCAAACAAAGATATTTGTAAGGGGAGCCACTAAGAAACAAAAATTACATCACCCACTGCCGTCGTTGGCCAACGCACGCGCCGCCTTCCACTGTCGTTTAGGCGCCATATGATTAAAATTAAAATTACATACCTACCTGTGGAACTGATGATCAGGTTCGAGAACATGAGTTTTTCTTTTAATCTGTAAACCCATTATGTATATAAAATGCTCAACGTGTCTCGACGACGTCGTATTCTTCTCTCTTTGGGCGTTCTAAAGAAAGGGAGGAGAGAGTTTTATTTACAGGAGGAAGAGAAAAATTAATAGAGAAGGAGGGGTTTAAAATCAGTTTCCTAATAGGAAAAAATAAAAAAGCTTCCATAAATAATGATTAATTGTAGTTAATTTTTTCTGTCTTTCATTTAAGGAGAAGACGTTCCTTTTCCTCGTTGGATTAGATTTTCTTTTACCTAACTATATATACCCATATTTTGGTTTCCTTTTTAAGCGATAAAATTTAATTAAAAAGGACGGTAATTATTTAATGCCAATTTTGGGTTTAAATTTAAATTGCCCCATACAATTATTTTATATATGATATTGTAAAAATAAATTATTTAAATATAATTAATTTGAACTATGTTTTTAAAATATTCTGAATTCATTGTTAAAAAAAATTCTAAATTCAAGGAAAACTGTATGGTGGAACAAGATTGGTCATTTAAGAAACCAAGTATTTTACTTTATTTAATGTCAAATTTGGGTTTAAATTGACCCCTACGTTGTTAGAAATTTTTTTTTAATATAATGTTGTAAAAAACTTATTTAAATATAATTAGTTTGAAACTATTTTTTAAAATATTCCAAATTCAATAAGGAAACTCACATGATTGAAATTATTTCAAAAATTGGTTGGAGGAACTGGGAGGGAACTAAGTGGGTGGAGTGGATTTACTTCCGTTGGAGAAATATATAAAGTTAAAAGAAACACAAAATAAATCATCCGAACTCAATTTTGTTTCCTCTACGGTGCTCAAAGTTTCCTGAACAATTGTCTTCCAAGAGATGATGGATATACCAACCTGTGAATGCAGCACTTCACGCACACGATTCAACAAATTCACAGTACTTCAATATTCGTACAAAGGAAAAAGAGACAACTTTGAGGGATCAGTTTTCTCTGTTGCAAAAATGAAAAGAATCATATATTTATAAACTATTTGTGGTCATTCAAATAGTCATATTGGGATGTCAAAAGACACATTATCATGAAAAAAAAGTTGCGATTCTTCATTTTTAATAAAAAAAAATTTATTCAAAACTTCCAACAATTTCCACGGGATGAATAAAACTACAATATTTTCCAAATATGTTTAAAAAATTCCTTTATTTGATGCTAATTTTGGATAAATTGGCTCCCACTTTATTAATGGTTATAATTTAACAGTGTATACTGTATACAAATATTTTACTACTACATACAGAGGGAAACAAAAAACAATTCAAGGCAACTTTTTTTACACGTGGAAAATTTATGTAATTATATTGGATTGTTATTTATTTAAGTAGTTCGATTACAAAACATAGTAGTAACTTCTAGGGATTTTTTTTTTATTCATATGAGATTTTAAAAAATAATAAATAAAATTTTTTTTCTCGCAACGGAAATTTCAACTTTTTTTTTTCTCTTGAAAAGCTTTACTCTTAACCATTTGGGTTGCCTCATTGGTGCAAAGAAGCAAATTAAATTAAAAAGATTGAATTATAATGTGGTATTATAAAATAATAATAATAAACTCATCCTGTAAATGTGAAAATTTTTAAATATTCAAAGAAAAATTTATCAATATCTTCTACCTTTTAATTATAAATTATTAAGCGGTTCCTCCAAATATGAGGTGAGGGAAGGCATGAGAAATAAGTTATTAAAATAATTTTTTTGTATGAGAATTCGAACATTTAAGAAAGGTTTTGCAGTAGTAAAATTAAGTTTTGTCTGTGTGCATATCAGAATTATAAATTATAATAGTAAATAATTATTGATTTGTTTTAACTTATAATTAATTAATAGTACAATAATAGTGGTTTAATTTCATTGCTTAATTACTCACACTCAGCATCTTGAGCATATTTAAGGGGATAAAAGGTATCCTAGAATATTGTGATTTCGAATCTTCACCCCACACATTATTATATTATATATATATATATCATAACTATAACTAATTCTTTTATAAAAATTAAGAAAAACAAATTCTAAAATATCATTGGATACCCAAACCCTAAAACCTCCCAAGAAGCAATGAGATATAGATGAAGACGTATATATCATAACTATAACTAATTCTTTTATACAAAGAAAAATTAAAATTCTAAAATATCATTCGATATCCGAACCCTAAAACCCAAAAAAGCAATGAGCTACTGATGAATAAGACTCGAATACCTTTGAAACTGATGATCAGGTCCCAGAACATGGGCTTTTCTTTTGATCTGCAAACCCATTATATATATAAAATGCTCAACGAATTTCTTGTCTCGACGACGCCGTATTCTTCTCTCTTGGGTGTTCTGCAAAATTTGTGATACAAAGAAATCGAAGAGAGAGTTTTATTTATAGGAGGAAGAGAGAAATTAATAGAGAGTGAGGGGTTTAAAATCAGTTTCCTAATAGGAAAAAAAAAGCTTCCATAAATGATATTGGTTCAAAAATTTCAAGGTTTATTGATTAATTGTAGTTAATTTTGTCTGTGTTTCATTTAAGGAGAAGATTTTCCTTTTCCTCTTTGGATTAGATTTTGTTTTATCTAACAATATATACCTATATTTTTTTTCCCTTTTTTAAGCGATAAAATTTAATTAAAAAGGACCGTAATTATTTAATGCCAATTTTGGGTTTAAATTTAAATTGCCCCCCTACAATTTTTATATATATAATATTGTAAAAATAAATTATTTAAATATAATTAATTTGAACCATGTTTTTAAGATATTCTAAATTCAAGGAAAACTGTACGGTGGAACAACATTGGTCCTTCTAAGGAACCAAGTATTTTACTTTATTTAATGTCAAATTTGGGTTTAAATTGGCCCCTAGTTTGTTAGGACTTTTTTTTATATAATGTTGTAGAAAACTTATTTAAATATAATTAGTTTGAAACTATTTTTTAAAATATTCCAAATTCAATAAGGAAACTCACATCATTGTTTAATTGTACCTACGATATCTTGGTCCACGATTAATATTTTTTTTCAAAATTATCACTTAAATTCATCTTTTTTTTTATTGTACAATATTTTCGAAATTCAACCACAATTATATTTGGCATAAATTTCGAAAAGGGGCATTTATAGAACCAAAAATTTTCGGTCAATCATAAACGGCCACATCATTATCTATTTTATTTAGGGATTAATTATATATTAATCATAAATTAAAATTAAAGTCAATTTGACAATTAAAATATGTAATTGGGTCATATGAGTATTGGGCTTGGAATCGATTTGGTTTACAAATTTGGCCCAAAACTCAATTTAGCATGAAATAGATGATTAATATTTAAATTTAAATAAATCCATTTAAATAATTGGGCTTGACCCAAAATTATCCAAGCCCAATGGCCCACTAAACCTATGGAAACCTCTATAAATAGAGTTAGAGGGGATTTCATTCATTTTGAGGGTTCAAAATTTCAAAATTGAGATAATTCACACAAAATTGAAAACTCTCTGAATACTTGATTCGAAAACCAATCTGAAGACTTTCGAAGAACATAGAACTTCGATCTGAATTCAAGAACAAGCATCTCAATCTTCACATCAAGTTCGAGAGAAGGAGTCAGAGGATAAAGATTAGAGATTGAATCAACTATACTACACATCCTACAAATATAAAAGTTAACTCCACGAAATATAATTTCTCCAGAAATCTCGTGTGAACAACCGCCACTTTCGCCAAAATTTCCACGAATAAATCTCCTGGAAGAGAATTTAGAGGAGCCGCAAAATGCACAGTTTTGGCCCTGCATGTCAAAACGTAGTTCTGTTAGCAGAAAAAAAAAAGATATATATATATATCAACAAAAAAAAAAAAGATATATACTTCACGTGAGGATATTTTTTCTCTAGGATTTTAATCTTGCCTTTTTTTTCTTTTTTAAATCTTTGAATGAGATATACTTCACCATTAAATGCGATTTACGTGAAATCGTACCCAATGACTGCGATTTCACTACCCTACTTTTGAAAATACTTTCAAACCTATATTGTTTGTGTCATTTGTTTTTTAAAAAAACATTATTTAAAAAAATCCTTTAATAATTACTTGAGATCCGGGTCAAAAATGATATTCGACCAAGATCGATGAGTCAAAAGAACTACGATAGGCTACTCCTATTACGAGTTAGTTTTTAGATGGAATCCATGAATATTAATACTCACTAGTAAGGAGAAATGCAAAAATAAAAATTTAACTTAAAAGATAATGAATTGTTTAATATTTAATGGTTGGTGTGGAGAAATTGCTCAGAGTAATTTTGCAATAAGTTGCTTGAAACAAAATTGGGTACAATACTTGAATTCAATATTATTAATGTATTTTGATTTTGTTGTCCTTTCAAATACTAAGCAGAACAGAATTAAAGGCTACGTATAATTTAATAAATGTAGTGTTGGGTGTATTTCCAACCAATTATATTTTTCTCTATTTGGAACCTTCGTCTCATTCAATTCACTCCTGTCATCTCCCTCTCATATATCAACTTCATTAATCTTCTCTTTCCAGTACAACATGTAGAGGTGGGAGAAAATATATGTCAATTACCGTTGAGTTATGTTCGCTTTGACAATTTCATTAATCTTTGTTTCATAGATTATTTGATTAAAAGTGCATACCCAATGATAAATGATTTTTATTTGTTGGCGGTTTTAGTTCGAGTATTTCAAAATTCATTTATCATAATGGTTTTTGTTTTCCTTGAAAGAAAAAAAAATTGCTTTTGTTTCTGATTATATAGAAAAATGTTTGAATATAATTTAATATTGACCTCAAAAAATTTCTATATTCATGTGAGTGAGTGATGGTAGGATATAAACTTTATTACCACAACATCCGAAACTCATGATTCGGCTGCCTACAACCTTTAACGAGGGATCAAAGAAAATCTTTCGAATTTTATATACAAAGCCACAGACGTTAGATGGGTAAAAGAAAAAAAAATGAAAACCACATATAATATTATATTTTTTCTTTAATAAGTAAAAAGTAGAAACACATCGTATTATATATGAACATTGGAGCATTTGATACGAATAGCATTATATTGTGTTAAAAAACACACCTACATAATTTGCCACCTGTAAATTAATTTTTTATGTGTTTTATTAACAAACTATATGTAGTCTACTTCTCCATATATATAAATAATGGTTGAAATACAAGGAGTTAAATTGAAACTATTTAAATAATAGGAATTAGTTCGGATGTTAAAAGGCAAGGAATTACCAACATGAAAATCCTCACGTCATTTCTTGTATTAAAAAAATTCAAACATTAAATTGAAGCTATCTAAATAATGGGATTGACTTTAAAAAATACCCAAATACTATCCTCAATTACATAACATAATAGAAAACTATAGCTTGGGCCTTTTTTATTCATATTAAGATTTTCAAATAATAATTTTGTTTTAAATTGTCTTTAGATTCAAGGACTTTTGGTTAGAAATTATAGAAAACTATAGTTTGGGCCTTTTTTATTTATAGGAAGATTTTCAAATAATAATTTTATTTTAAAATTTTTTAAGTACAATAAGTAAGAAGAAACGATTCGAACTCAAAATCTCTTAATTAGAAATAGATACCTTGACCAATTGAGTTGTTGGTATTTTTTTTAATTAACTTTATTTTACTTATAATTTAATTGATTTATTTTTTATTTTAATTAAAATGACTTTTAGTTTCTAATTTTAAAAGGTCATAAAATGTGCTTTTGTCGTAAAAAAATATATAATACTGCTGACCCATCTAAAAGTGTGTGTAGTTTCATTTATGTCATTAATAAAAACTATTTATTTCATCTAAAATAAATGGGCATTGTTTTTTTTACAATGACAGGTTGAAGATTTGGACACGTGATTTTTTTTTGTCGAAAATATACGTTTTAACTCGTTGATTTATGTTCGGAGTACAAAAATAAAGAGGTAAAAAAATGAAAATTAAGTATGATATGTATTTCAAAAATGTCATAAATTTGTAGTAAATTTTACATATTATATGATCAGTTTGACTTTAATTTAGATATATATATTTGGAAAAGAAAATTTCTCCTTGGCCGTTTAGGATAGTTGAAAAGAAGGGGTAAACGTGTCTAATACTATCGCTAGCATTTTTTTATAATATTAATAAACTTTTATATATTATTGTTTAAAAAAACCATAAAGTTAATTAAAGAAAGTCAAAGGAAACTGAGCGACCATATATAATTAAATTCCCATGTTTTCTATATGACTTTTGTGGTATACATTTTCTAAGAAAATTAAGTGGCCATTCAAATTATTAAAATTATTGTATAATTCATTTTAGGTGTGGAAGGAATAAGAAGTCGAGTAACAACCCTAGTTCGAATATTTTTTGTTTTCTAAAAAAAATGCCACGCCATTGTTATGTTATCCAATTTCAATTTAGTATGATTTAATAAAATAATTATGAAGTAAATATAGGACAGAAATTAAAAATTTTAAAACATTAAGAACAACAATAAAAGGTGATATTTATCCCAAAAAAATAAACAATATAAAAGGTGATATATACTTCGATTATCGCATATTCTTAAAAATATTTATTAAGCATGTGATAATCCTATCCCTATTTAAGAGAATTCAAAACAACATTAATATCAACCTAAATAATAATTGAATGGTTAAAATATCTTTACCTTAAAATGTTATATACCGGCCACGATAAAATTATATGAACTCACTAGCAAAAAGTTGGTTCATGATCATTATTTCATTTCAATATTGAGATAAGTTAATTGATCTTAGTCAAGTTTATTGAATCCTTGTTTTAAATAATCTCATAACGAATGACAATAAAATTAGTAGAATAAACATTCAAATCTTCACTCATATTCCTAAGGTATTATTTAAAAAAAAACACACACACATCATGAAAAGTAACATACTAAGAATTTTCATAAAAAAAATATTAAGTGCCACAGATCAGCATCTCTATCTTGTTGTTAGTCACCATTAAAAATTTGACATATCTTAGTTTATTAAAAAAAACATAATAAATATTTTTTCTTTTTTTATATATTTTTCTCTTCTATTTATCTAAATTTTAATGGTAGTCTATAGAATGTCAATATCGACAGATAATTCTATAAAAGTTTAGAAAAATTAAAAAAATCGTAAAAAATATTTAAATGAACAAATAAATATTTTTTTATTTCTAAATTAGTTAAAAATAATTAATCTTAATATTATGTATATATTAATGACATTTTTGTTGATATTTTTCCTTCGATGTATCGAATATTTAAAACCATGGTGCGAGAGTCTAGGGAAAAATATTTAGAAAAGAAGTGTTGAAAAAAATGATGAAAATAGTCAAGATATTAAATAATTTTAAGAAAACTAAATATTTATTAAATCAATTCTTCCATAAATCCAATCGTGCATGCCACGATATAATTCCCTCTTCATATATACCAACACTCTCCACTACTCTCAACAACCCATTTTCCATTTACATGCTTCCCACGATTCTTCGCCGACGATATGGCGGAGCCGAGAAAATCTCCGGCGCCGTCGCCGCCGCGGCCAGCGATTTCGCTCCAACCTTCACCAAAGCGATCAGGTCTCTCAAAGCCTACGAACAAACTCCTCCGGCAAGTCCGCTCCGTGTTCCGCACGCTTCCGATTCTGTCTCCGGCGTGCCGATTTCCTTTAAGCATGAATCGGCTCCACGACGGCCACGGCCACGGCCACGGCGGAGCGCGGATCACCGGAACGATCTTCGGGTACCGGAAATCGCGAGTGAATCTGGCGTTTCAGGAAAGCCCTAGGTGTCTCCCGATGCTGATTCTGGAACTCGCGATTCCGACGGGGAAAATCCTGCAGGATTTGGGGCTAGGGCTAGGGCTCGTCCGGCTGGCCCTGGAGTGCGAGAAGCGGCCGGCGGATCAGAAGAGGAAGATTCTGGAGGAGCCGATTTGGACATTGTACTGCAACGGAAGAAAATCCGGCTACGGCGTCCGCAGAGATCCGACGGAGGACGATCTCAAAATTATGCAGACGCTCTCCGCTGTGTCGATGGGCGCCGGCGTGATTCCGGCCGACGAAGTGGCGGCCGCGGCGGCTGACGGCTATCAATTGACGTATATGAGAGCGCATTTCGAGCGAGTGACTGGATCCAAGGATTCCGAGACGTTCTACATGATGAATCCTGACGCCAACAATGGCGCTGAACTCAGTATCTTTATGGTTAGAATTTGATTTTTTTTCCTTTTTTTTTATTTCTTACCTTAATAATAAATATTATAGTTAGGGTTTTGATTTTAGTTCTAGGTATCTATAGTAGTTCGTCACTTATAGTTATAATGTTTTAGTAAAATATTTATGTTTTTGTTTCAGGATCTTAATCTTTATATTTTCTTATTATTATTGTATATCTAATTTAGTTTATTTTGGTATTACTTATTTTTCCAAAGGCTTTGATGTTACTTATTGAGTGAACTTAAAGAGGGTATGTGAAAATATATATATACATTCAAAAGGATATATCTAATGTCTTTCTAGACAGGATTTGGTACGAAACTTTGATAAGAAAAGAGTAAATGATTACTATCATTGAAGTATATAACTATCATTGAGTTATACTTGAGGTGATTTCAGAAGTTTCAATTTAATGCTTATACACCTCATAAATTGTCCCGTTAATTACCATGCTGAATCCGAGGTAAGTTTTTATTTACATGATCTAGGTCATACTTTCAATTTAGTTGTGTGGATTTTATCGGTAAGGATTTAATGAGTAAAAAAAAATGAATATTTTTTAAGCTGCAGCACCAAATGAAAACTAACTAATGATTTGGTGAAGTTTGATGTATATTTTGGCAGAGGTGCATGCAGGCAAAATTTGTTGACACAATATTTTCCATTCTTATATAATAGAAAAAAATGTAAATATTTGTTAATAAATTATAGTATTATTTCCTAAACCTCATATTTATTTATCGCTTGCCTTACACAAAATATGAACCTTGAGGGGGCAAAATCTAATAGAAAAAGTGAAACTTGAAGAATATAAAAAATAATTTAATCATTCATGCTCTGCCACGTCCCACTTCAAAGGCAAAAACCAATTTTCTTGGATACAAGAAAGGTTGAAATGATATGGCTTACCATACTAGATGAAGGCAAAATAAAAATTCATCAAAAATTAAGCTTGTGCAATGGGGTTGTGGGCCTGTTAATTTAGCTCACACTCAACTGCAAAGAAATTGACATGGAAATGAAGTCACTCAAATATATGATTATGTGATGAAAATAAAAGCAGTGAAGCTCCTTGACGATGGTGACAGTTGAAAAACATATTCAAAGTGATTGTAGAAGGATGAAAAACTAAGGTTTTTTTTCTTTCTCCTTTTCTAGTACAATATATAGGGTGGGGTTCGAACCCGTAATGTTTTGGTCGGAGATTTGATGATCAACTATAAATACTATTAGAATTTAAAGAATACAAATGACTTATGGTTATATATAAACTAAAATCTAACTTTATTGATTGTAACAAGTCAAATAATATACCTGATTAGGTGCAAATAAAAAACCATATATGAGCCCCACGAGCTCAAAGAAGGTCGATCACGATGCTGGGTTCGGTTAGGAAGGCACGTGCACGACAAGGTCACATGGCCTCTTCCGAATCCTTGATGAAGGAGAATCAACAAATGAGTTGAGATTTTGGTGCAGCCAAGTGTTTGAGCTATACTTCATTGTATTTTGAGTTTGGTCTAGTTTTGGCGGGGAACAAGAAATGGTTTGAATGTCAACAGCACTCCAATTGCTTCGATCACATTTAGGATGAAGAAAATCATTTGAGGACCTGGAAGAGATCATTATTTAGCTACTGGTTTTCCTCATCTTTTATTAAAAAGTACCAATCTGTAAGATCATGAATCAATCTTCTAATTCTGTGAAAATAATAGAAGAGGGCTCATGGATGAGAGGTAATAGAACAGATAATACAAGTACAGAACCATAATATTTACAAGTTTTTAATGAAGAAACTCATCTTGGTCAATGTCTTTTTGCAATATTAATTTGAGGTTTATCTTGTGCTTGCTAGTAGGAGTATATCAACAAACAAGTAAATTGAACTCAATCGGTCCTTCAATTTCTAGTTCATTTGGTCAAAATTTTCAAGTGAAAAATCAATGCTTAGTTGGTCACGTAACCAAACTCCATGACGCCAGAGAAATTAAGAAGTCTAAAATTCGCCAGAGAAATTAAGAAGTCTAAAATTTATACAAACACACTAATATTTGGATCTTTAAATCCTCCACGTGGACTGCATCTTGTGGAGGGTTGAACCTCTGATTTACCTAAAATCTAAAATTTGGGGTTCTTTTTAATAAGAAACCGAGCTTTTCATTGTTTGATTCGTGCGTGTCATCCTTGCACAGGGGCCAGCCATGTTAATCTTCTTAGTATCACTCCAATTGTATCTTTTTTATATAAATTGGGAATCTCCCTTGAGCCAATTAACAGGGCTCTTTGAATCTCAAGGTGTTAGAGAAGCTAAAAGGAGAATTTGAAGGTTTTTTAAAGAGGTTTTTGACGTCCAAGAAGTTTTTTAAAGTCTAGCGGGTTCTGGAGTTGATTGGGATTTCCTTGATAGTTTTTTAAGATCTTGAATTTGAATTATACACTAGTAAGGAATAAAAATTTATCTTAAACATTTTTGAGTTCTGGTTAACTAAAAGTGGGGAGAAGGATACAGGATGGCCTTAATACAACACCTAATAATGAATTCTGCCCAAACACAATCAATCTCATGCAGGAAAAAGAATTGGCAAAAAGAAAATGTACCTGGGAGAAAAGCAGCATTTTGACGCTTCTGTGACCAAGAAAGTCTGCGTAGAAGGTTATCTCAAAAGCTATAACAATTGACGTGACAATTATTTGCAGTTAAATTTATCAGAATATAAACAAACATGTCTTTTACATTTGCACTAAACATGCAAATGCATAACAATTTAAGGTTCCATCAAAATCTACATTTTCTTCAATGTTTACATAGAGCCGTAAAATCAAGATTATTGACATTTCCATGAAATTTATAACAACTTTTTTTTCATCGCATTGTTATTCTCGTTTGTAGTTGTACTGAAGATTTTAAGAAAAAAGTAACTTAGCAGCGGTAGTGCAAAGCATCCAGCATTTAACACGTGTCGAGGCCAGTTAAAATGAGAGTGACTACCTAAACTTGGATGTGTGTTGTAAAGTTAAACATTCACATAATGTGGAGTGCACTTACAATGAACCGCCTGCAGCTGGACCAATTGCCTTGAAAAGAGACATTCCTGTCATAGCAATGCCATTAGCAGCCCCTCTTTGGTGTTGTTCCTGCATACAGATGGTCGGATATATCAATCCAAGCTCTTGTATATGTTGTGAGAGAAGGAGAGAAGGCAGAGATATTATTACCACGGCTCTGTTTTGTATGATGAACATACCAGTTGTGATAGAGACCTGAGAACAGATGAAAATTTTGATAGATCAAGTAAAATTAAATCGTGGAAGATAGTAAGAGAAACTTTGGTTGTGAATTAACATTACATGATAAGAAAGCAAATTGCTTGGCTGGCCTATAATACACTATCTTTCTTCTGTTTTTGGCGCCATGTAAGTTATAAGTTATAATGACGTCCAGACATCTCTTAAGAATACTCTTCTCGACTGCAATTATTGCATAAATTAATTTTGAATTTTTATATATTTCAGTCATTTTAAAGACATTTTCTTTTACATTTCTGTTATTGCATAATTCATTTCCACTTGTATAATTGTTATACACGTGTAAATACTATATTTTAAAATTTATTTGTCTTAAATTATTTATGACATATAATTCTTCATAAACCACAATGATTAAATAAAAATTATTTATTCAAAGTAAAAAATACATGATATATTAAAAATATACCAAAATAATAATTAGTAATGGTTCAATAATTTATAAAATTAATCAATTTGAGCATATTTAAGTTGCTCAAGCATCTCTATTTCCTAAAAGATGTTCAATCTCTACTCGTATTTGTGATGAAATATTAAAATATATACCCTTACATGGTGGTAATGCACATGAAAAATTATTGGTAACTATAAAGCTTATTGCTTCTCCTCGGACAAACCTAATGTGAAGTTTTCAAAGTTCGTTAAAAGATTTCACAGTAATCCACAATACGAAGCAATGGAATCATCATGTTGTACACTGCAGATCATTGGAAATGGGAAATTCAAGTTTTAGTGTGATACTTACAGAGAGAAGATTCTTAAAGAGTGATGCAAGAGTTACGGCGATGTAAAGGGCAGCTCCTGTCAACAAGGATAAAAATGGATAAATTGCCAGCAGGGGGATCGACAGTATCTGCAACATACAATGTATTAGGTGACCTAAGACTTAAAATGGCTTCCACACCGATTCAAAGTTGAAAGTACACATAATCTCGACATCAAAAAAATACACATTCAAATGTAAGGCTAGAAAGTGATACAGAAACTTACCCCACAAACACGAGAAACCATTATGGGACCAAATATCCTCTCCACATATGGGTATAAAGAGGATTGAAACACAAGAAGGGTGAAACCTAAAAGCACGTAAACAGAAGTTTGCAACACAATTAGTTGAAACAAATTGATGTTAAAATAGACCCCATGTTTTTCACCACTTAAAAACAGTTTTGAGGGACAAGTAATATTTGGTTATCATGGCTCCAAGTTTATTGGGTAAGATGCTTTGTAAACCTGAAATATCAGTACCGACTGCAGAATTTTGTTATAGCAAAATAGGAAAAATAGGAAATATAATGAATCCGATTTATCCGAACCCAACAAAGAAGTTGTTTTCTTAAGACAATTTTGTCTCCTCTGCATTACTCTAGTTATATCAAACAATTGTCTGTTTGTCTCCCAAGATAACACTGATTACTAACATATATGTGGGAGAACACATTGCAAAATGTGAAAAGTGAAAGAGAAACCACCTTTTCATAAATTATGTGATAATTAAATTGACATAAAGTTGAATCCTTTGATAAAGAACGTATTCTTTTATGTAAAGTTATGTCCTTTACAAAAGACGTCCCAGGTGTGCTTCTTTAAAATTTATAAAATAATTTTATTCATAATTTTCAACAAACTTTCAGTAACTAGATGTAAATTTAAGAATGTGCATTATAATTTGGAACTTTGAACATGAAGCATTGTAAACTAATGCAAGAATGTACGAGGGTGCATGCTGTCGGGATGGGGTTATGGACTGTGCATCTACCTGTGATGGCAAGGACTTCACCAACATCCCCAGATGAAAAGCTCAAACCACCAAGTGAACGGGAACTGACAGCCCAAAGTGAAAATATCTACAGTAGAGAATGTGGTTTTCACCAAATGGTTCATCATCTCCCAACATTAAAAGCTAAAATCTATTCCAGTTAACAAACTGCAAAGGTCACCTTTGATAATGTTTTTGTTCTTTTAAAAAATTGAACTCATTGCTACCCCATTATTTGTTTTTTTCCAACGTTATTCGTAAAAAATGAAAATCTTGCCAAATTTCAACAACAAAAAACAAATCTTGAAAACTATATGTTTTTGCTTTTAAAAACTTAGCTATGATATTGAAAATTTTGTTAGAATGTAGGTTTACAAATAAAATGGGCAGTAAACAAGCACAAGAATGGTTTTTAAATTCCCGTGTCTCACCAACTTATGTAAACAACACAATATTTTAAAAACATCACCAAAGAAGTAATTTAGTTCAAGAAAATGCGAACTTTTTCCTTTCAAAATAAATCTATTTTCAGAGATGAAACTGAAAAGCAAATCATAAGTGAACAGGCTTGACTTACGGTAGACATACCTCTGAGTAAGCCATATCATGAAGTGAGAATATGCAATAAACAAGGATTGATGTCATTAACTCCCAATTCTTGAAGAGACTTGGCTTAGAAGGCAGTTCTTTTAGTGTATTTGTTTGGGTTTCTTCATTTCCATCACAAGCACCAATCTGCTCTTCATCTTCTACAGCTTCATATGGTCTATAAGGTGATGGAACATTTTCATCGTGCATGTGCAGTGACTCCTACAATATGGACAAGAAGTTGAGTAAGGATAGCTTGAAATGTCATTGAGAAAAGAGAGGGAGGGAGAGGGAGAGAACCAAGGCTTCAAATGATGTGTTGCTCATAAATTCAAGCTGAGAAGAGAATGGCCGAATGGGTAAGCGAGTTAAAGATCACCAAGTTCTCAAATTTTTAAACTTACAGAAGATGTTCAAATAGAAAATATAACATCAGGTCGGTCACCACAATATTTAAATCCTCCATTTATGAGAGTTGTCTTCTTCACAAAACTTTGTGGGAGCAAAAGCCCCAATTAAATGATGGAGTCCTGTTATCTCCTTTGAAGATGACCGTGCAGTTGAATAGATAATGATAATTATTAACAAAATTTCAAGAGAAATTATAACTTTCCCCAGAAATGCAAAATGATTCAAGAAACCAAAACCCAAATTAAACCATATTTGAGAAATGGCCTTCAAAATACCAAAATAGAAGATTAATGGTTAAAAAATAAAATAAGAATCTTCCCTAATTTACGCAAAAATATTGAAAATCCATTTATAAATTGATTAATCAGAAGAAATGACTATCCAACTAGAGGGCATACCGGAAGCCAGAGAGAGATAATTAATGTAGCTACTGCAAGGAGTGATGTACAAAAACAGGGCAGGAAGTATGGAAATCTGCGACAAAGTACCATGTTGTATCTTGTAAGCACATTACTGGACAGTTATCAATTATGGCAACTGTAAAAATAAGCGTACAGCGAATTTACCTCCCAAACAAGCCCTCGTGGGAGAAAATGCTAGGAAATTTCTCCGCTGGCTGATGATTATCAGTTCAGATCAAAAGAATGAAAGAAGCGAAAAGGTATTCTTGCACAATTTAAAGTTCAAACGTTCAGCGTTATTTCCATTAACTGAGGGATACAACCAAGAATACCTGTGCAAGAAACCCTCCTAAAGCCGGGCCAATTATCAATGAGATTCCCCATGCTGTATTAATCTGAAGTTAAATCAAAGATTTAGTATTCGTTCTGGAGATAAGTTAAACGCAAAATCTTCAGCAACAAATGCAACATCAGGACCAAAAAAGGGGGGTGGAGGAAGAGATGGAGAGAGTTATTTTCAGAAACAGAACTCACAGATGACAGAGCTAAAGCTTGATATTCTTCACTAACACTTTCACTTGCATATGCCTGACAATAAAATTCATAATTATAAAAATACGAAAACTAGAGAGGAAACAGAAAGGATTGAGGTAAGAACCAAACTTTAAAGTTCAAGTCCCAATAATAGGCCTATATATTGGACCATAGATTTTATTCATCTAAAAGAAATATACCTTTATTGGTCCTAGTATGCCATTCAAACTTCCAAGAAGAAACCTTGTGATAATAGCCATCCAGTAATTTAAACTGAGGCCAAATAGGGTGTTGAATATAATCCTGCAACCAGTTACCAACAGAGACAGAAAATTGAAGCGAAAGTTGTATTGGAGACTTGAGGCAAATGAAATTCAATACCCAGATGCATCGCTTCTAGATATAAATGTTCAGCAACTAACACTGTAACAATTCCAAAAAGAATAACAGGTTTTCGACCGTAGCGATCAGCCACCATTCCCCAGAAAACAGATGTTAATGCTCTGCCAATCATGTAAGAAGCTCCTACAAATTGTATGAGGATTTGTTAGGAAAACATAGAACATTCAAGTACTATGAATGACAGGGAAATTGAACGAAAAAGTAGAATGTTCATAATAACCTTACCGACAAAACCAGCATAGAACCCAATATCTTCCACTTTATCTGCAATATTAAAATCCCGAACCTGCATTCAAATTGGAATGATCAGAAAATTAATAAATGGGCATGATTATTTACATCCCAGCCAACTTTTTAACTCGCCTAATAGGGAGTACGTTAAAGAGATGCTAATTGAGATGGATGAAGAAATGCATAGTAATCATGAGATTATCAGCTTAGGATATTCAATTAGATTGACATAAAGGCAAAAGATAAAATATTGAAAATTGCTAGGCTTGAAATACTACCGCAATAATGAATGAATTTACTAGAACATTCTTCAACTAATGACTGTTACGTTAATTTATTTATGATAACTTCCCAAAGAGCTTAAACTAACATGATTAGGTCTCCCCTGTCAGATCCTAATTCTATAGCTGTAGCATTCATGGCTCAGCACACTTGACAGCCTTCTCTTTCCATCAAAAGATGTGAAACAGTAACAGGAAAAGCAAGCACAAAATGCACAATTGCAGATTCTCTTCCCGTTTCAGAATATGTGACACAAACTCCGATAGATATAAACTTACCATGAAATACAGGAACGGGAAAAGACCTGATATAGGTAATCCTGGAAACGAAAAAGAAAAAATTAAAGAGTAAGGTGCAAAAGTTGAACCACACAATAAATAAAAGATCGACGAGAAAAATTTGCAGTAAAATCAGTTTAGTGAAATGTCACAATCGATCTCCAATAAAAAAATTATATGTCCAACTGTTTCCTGCAGGTGACATTTTCTTTATATTTTCCGTGAGAGTTGAGAAAAAAACTGCTTGACTTTATCTTTTCCAGGCAGTTCAATTGCTAGATATCAGTTTCCTCGCTGATTAAGAGCAGAATATATGAGAAATTCTTCATTGAGTATTTTGATTTGCAAAAACTTAATTTCTAAGATTGAAGCCGCATCGTCTCCCCATTTCAACATTACGAGTCGAACGCTGCTTCTCTATGGAATACGGTATCCGACTAGTAAAGCTTGAAGAGAAAGACTGGTTGCGTTTGGCAGAAAAGAAACTCGCAAGAAAATGAAGAGAAATCGAACCAGTGACCAGAAGAACAAGCGAAATCATAACGAGTTGGCGGAGAGGAAAGCCGCGGTGCAGCTGGTTGTGGCGCTCCATCTTGCATCCAGGACAGTTCTCGAAGTAGTAATACTCTTCCTTCAACAATCTGTTCCGGCTTCCTTCCGCCATTTTCCCTCTTAGAGCCTAACAACAAAAACAAAACTCAATGCCTTTGTAGTTGAGGTCAGGCAAAAGGAAAACGAAAAAACTCCTCCAAATTACAACCGAAACCCGATCTCCACGCGAAAATACAAGTAGATAAGCTCCAAGCAAACAGCCAAAGAGACAAATCAAGCTTTATCCTCCTTGAATCTCGCTGCCACCAGTTTTCTCCGTTCTCTTTCGGATTTTCAACCCTCTCCTCCACCTTCAATGGCGGCGAAGCGCCATGTCTGACATCATCTCAGAGATCATTCTTCTCTCCGCCGATTTGAAGACAAATCAAAAATTAGAGAACTTAATTGGCAGAGCGTCACTGCATGCGCCAGAGGAGGCGCCCAGTGCCCACTCGCCTCTTTCAGATCACGGTCCCACTCGAGAGTCTACATGAGGTCCACTTTTCTAAAAATGTTTTAATACTAATCGGATAAAATTTAGATGCCTACCACTGAGGAAATTCAATTACTACACAAATATAGTATTGGAAATTTTCCCACGTAATTTGGGTTAGGAAAATTTTGGAGGTAACGTCCTTATTTCTTTATTTTTAATAAAGAAAAATATATTGCATGGTTCTATTACTTACTATAATTTCTTACATAAATAATATTTTTTAGATCAAATATACTTTTATGAAGAAAAATATATTGCATGGTTCTATTACCTACTACAATTTCTTACATAAATAATATTTTTTAGATCAAATATGCCTTTAAAAGTATAGAGGCCAAAACAAAATTTAAAAAATATAATGACCAAAATTAACCAAAACTTAAATTATATTTATCAAAATAATATTTTAACCATGATTTTTTAATGTATAGACAATTGTCTCTCCATACAGGTACCATTAAAAAGTTGACCATTCAAATATGTGAGTATATAAAAAAATAAAATACACTAAATTAGATATGAAGATAAATACTTTAAGGTAAGCACTTAATGCTTACCAATATTAAAAGAAAATTATAAAAAAAAATTTGTAGCGTGAATAAACAAAGTGCTAGTGTAGTAGTACTATAAATTTTTCATCCCCTATTTATTTAAAATATGCAATCATTTTATTTTAATTTTATAACCCGTGCAACAACTTATAAATTAAAATTTATAAATTAATCGCAAATAATATAATTTCTCCTTCATATAAAGATCTAAAATTCTACATCGTACTTAATTTTACATTTATATATATATATATTTCCAGACCAACCCATCTGTTGTGTTTAATAATACTATTTATTATAATATACCCTTGTTTTTTTCTGTATAAATATTAAAAACTGAATATAGATACAAATGTGGTTGGAAGTTAACTTTTACAGAAGATAAATTTCTAAAATAATCAGTATAAATAATTAATTCAATTAAACAACAGTAAAACAGAGAGGTAAAAATAGCCTGTATATTCTGGATTGCGGCACGTTTATAAACGTTCTCCATATGAATTCCCGTTATTCGGCACTCCACTCCAAAGCAATCCCTTGTTCAGGTGAGTTCTCTTGATACTCAAAATCAAAGCAAGAGAACTAAAGGCTCAATTTAGAGATAAAATTATTTATAGAAAATTATATTAGTGCTCTCCTTATTGTTAGGGAGCATTTCGAAGACTTTTAAGAAGTCTGACCAATTCTTCCTATTAATAGGAGGGTTAATTGACGGGGTAAAAAAGAGGAAAATTAAATATAAGTAAAAAATTTTAAATATCCAACAAAATACAAGAATTATCTTGCTCATCCAGCTATTTGGGCACGTGGTTTTGATGATTGCTGTCTCGATAATTTGTTTTTATCCAGAAAATAAAAACAATCAAAGGTATTATTAAACTTGTTTTCATATATTTACTGTTTACGAATTTATATTTTCTAAAAAATTTATAATTCTTTTAAATAAAAAAAATATACATATATATATATTCGGTTTAAAATTGTATAAAAATAACATAAATTAGAAATTCATATAAACCATATTTTATGTTATTTAATATAATTTCTCATTTTCGAGATCGAACTCACAATCTCCTGATTTGAGATTTATATATAAAGACCGTGACGTTTCCATAATTCAGCAGACACTAATTTAATTAATAATTATTTAGCAAATTACTAGAGTGGACAAATGGGATAAATATATAAATAAATAAATAATACTTAATGTCACCTAATTGGAATCCAAGTTGAGTTTGTACTCTTAATTAGTCTTTGCATTTTTATCATAATATATTGCTGTCGCCTGTCACTCCATTTCCAATCATTTAAATAGCCTAATTATTTCGCCTTCGATAAGTTTATAGATGGCCCCACATGTTTATATAATTTTTGCACGTCAACTTTATTATTTAATCGCATGGACGTGGATTTAAATAAACGATAATGACTGGATTTCATAATACTCTAAAATTAAATATATCTAGAAAATGTATTTAAAATATGAGAATTAAAATATTGCAAGTACACTAATATTAATATGACTCAGCCGATAAACGTATACTAATTTAATTGAAATTGGGAATTCAAAATCCTCCTTGCTCGCAGTTGTATTAAAAATAAAAAATATGGAAATGGCTATCTAGTTGGAGTTGTTTTGGTGGCATTAGTATGTCATTAGTGTTGCAAAATTAATAACCCTGTATGATTTTTCATTCCACAAAAATATCCAAATACACACTATAATATACCAATAAGGAAGAAATTGTAATATACAAGAATCCGTCACAACAAAATTATATTGGTTCACCACTAAGGGTCACGTCCAGAGTCTTTTACTCAGATGTGGTAATTCACTAGTATTGTCAATGATTGGATTATAATAACTCTCTTCAAAATATCCCCTAAAGGTCCCAACAAAAAGTATCATAGCTTATAAGTATTCTAAACTCAATAATACTTAGGTACATGAATGAAAAACACTCACTAAATCCACGAGATACATAATCTTTTTTAACATTGCCCACAACCACTCAAGTTTATTTTATTTGGATTATGTAAAATTGAAACCTTAACATTAAACATTTATTTATAATAGGTCACATATCCTAATTCTTATAATAACACAATAATATCCTACTCCTGGTAGGAATTTGTACTAGTGTTGAAAATCTTTTTCTTCATAGGACATGAGTTTCCTGACTCAATTATCGTCATTTGTGACAAGAAGACAAGTGAATCGTTGCTTTTGGGCACAGGTAGCTCGAAATTGGAACTTGAGACTTAGTCGAGGGAGTCCCGTGAATAAAGAGAAGAATCGGTAGTTGTTAAAAAAAAGAAATTAAATCAGCTCCAAAGTTACGAGTTCTATGTCCTAAAATGCTCGTGATTATCTGTCGAATAGGACAGTCTCCTATCGAGTAATTATTGAGGTTGGTTATGAGTCGGCTAATGATCCAAGAAAAATGTACTTGTTTGTGACCAAAAGATAGTGAATTCGGATCTCAAATTTTATCCTTTTACTTAAAAAAAAATAGAGATAAATAGTCTTTTTAAAAAAGGATTGAAAAGTAGTTTTTAGAGTGTCAATCTTATACTGGGATCAGTGCCAACCAGCTACAAATATAATTTCTTTTCGTCAAAACTCAACCATTTTAAATGGCTTTGCAACATGATCCACTAAATTTGATTGAATGTACACTCGAGAAGTTTGTAAATTATTTACTATTACTCCGAATCCCGATGGCTTATTCTCAAGACAATAATTGAGGGTTCTTTTTTATATTTGAAATTATTTATTGAGAAAAATATTCGAGGTACAAAAGTCATCGAGAATAATATTATAATAACGACAAGAAGTTATGATTATTTATATGAACTTCTAATTCTCACCAGATTGCGATGCTTGTGGCAAGTATTTTCCTAATAATAAATACTTGCGATGAGTCTTTTTAGCTACGTTAAATGATTATTTATATGAGTCTTTGTATCATTTTGTCAGTTTGCGATTTTTTTTAATACAATGCGTACAATCTCTTGATTTGAGATATATGTTAATTACTGTTGAGGTATGTTCGTTTTGACAGTTGTTGATTTTTCACTAATACTCTAATAAGTCATTTGGTCCTGAATTTTAAAAATATTCACTCCAACAAAAGTTGGAGGGCTAATGTGACGAGCTTAGTTGGAAAGGGGTCTATGAGGACCCGTTTTGTAACATTTTTGTTTCTTCATTTCTAATTAAAAAAAAAAACGAATTACACGACTCCAACATCCATGAATTCAAGTATGATAAAACAACCATTTTATTTATGTTTTTGAACAAATTGGAAATGAAAACAAAAAAATAAGCAACTTGTTTTGAGTTGTTTCCAAAATTTATATGAGAATGTTTCTAAATAAGTAGAAACAATAAACAAATTTAATTGTAAAATGCTTAGATTTCTTTAAAAAATCGAAAACGAGAAACAAGAAACGGGTACATTACCAAACAGATCCTAAATTTCTAATTTCTCATTTAAAATTCTCAAATTTTGAATTTTAATCTCGTTTAATTTTTTGTCAACCTATCACGTTTTATGTTATGTTTGTCAGTTAATTTTAATATTCACTAACGATAAATGATTAATTTGAAGAGTGTTAAAACATAATTAGAGACTAAACCTTTTTTTTTTAAATAATAATAAAGGCTAAATTTGAAAATCTTCAGAAGATTAAGAATTGAAACATATATTAATCATAATTAGTGGTCTATATATATATAAGTATTCTCTTCGTTAGTTTTTTCAAGCCACCAATCACTAATTTTAGGTATTGCTTAAAATCTGTCATGCAAATTTTTTCGAAAGGCATTCTCTAATATTTGTGAGAACTCTTCCGGAAATTTGACTAAAAAAGTTTATATTTATTTGTATTTTTATTAACTGCTCCAAGAAATTTTATTTTCACGTGTTTTTTTTAGTTCAACGACATTTAAATGTTGTAACAGTTCTCATGGTGGAATGCAACACAAGATTGTATTGTTGGCAAATTAACTTGTTAAACAAGAGGAAACTCCACTTATTTGCGTTATCGTTTCCTTGTTTATTGTTTCTTATTTTATGTTTTATGTATAAAAACTATGTTCAAAAAATACACTTAATTTCAGTACTTTCATTCAAGTTTCAAGTATCAATTTAGTATTTGAATTTTAGTTTACAACGATTTATTGCTTCAAATTAGCAATAATTTTTAAATTTGTAATTTATAAACACATTTGGTCCATCGTCAATTTATTGATCTACATATATATAATAAATTTTATTAAATCTTAACAACATTTTCATGATATAGACTAAATCGTTACAAACTTTAAACTGTATGAACTTAGTTGTTGCGAGTTTAAAAGTACAATGACTAATTCGTTACAAACTAAATTTCAGAGACTAAATTGTTACTTCAACAACAACAAAAAAAATACCAAAAATGTTTTT